GTGTTTATCGCGTTCTTCACCAGGAGCCCTCTTGTATCTCAATGTCAGCGTAGCGATGCAACCTCTAGTTATGATATTTTGACATCAATCTAATATCTCGCTATCTACGCGGAGTCGCTTTATAAAGCGACTATAGATTTACTTGGCGTCCCCAAAAATGAAACAGCCTGCACACACGGAAAAGAAAAACGATATCATCGGTTGTAACTATTACATAACTAAATTTACGATAACCAGCATTTGGAGAATAAGTACTTAAATCAATACTCCCATACTTCGTGAATGACCTATTTAACCAGTTTTGTAGCTACAGCTTTTCAGACAAGAAGTCGTGGGCTACAACTTTCAAATTGAATCATTGACCCCGGAATAATATCGAACCCAAACGAACCGGAACATTTTTGCCTACAAATTACTGCTCAAAAAAGAGATAAACAGAGCTAAAAAAAGATCAAGAGTATAAACGCCAAAGCCCACTTATGCGCGTTAGCCTCACACAGTCTATAAAACCAAAACCCATAGCCTGCAGCCCTAAAATTTCCGATACCACCACTGACGCCAAACAGTCGACCCCTGTTTAGGGAGGACTCGTGGGGAACGAGGCACGAGAGGGAAAATAGAGGAGAGAATGTCATAAAGGCTAGGGGAAAAAGAGGAAAGACGAAGGAAGGGCACTCCCAAAGCCTACAGTAGATAGAGGATGAGGACGGGGATGAATGTCCCCAGAAAAGACCCGAGGGAGTTCGCGAAATATAGGGACAGGAAAGGAATGGGGAAGGCAGGATCGGACTGCTAAAAAAATAGGAGGAAAAATAAATATGGGAGTGGCGCGCCGGGGGGCCTAGTCGTCTAGCCTAGGCACCGGAAAAGAAGAGAGAAATGAAGAGTGCCGGACAGACTGGAAAAAGGAAAAAGGGGAAACGAGCGGCGACAGGACGGAAGAGCGAGGAACAACGAGGAGCTTTTGCTTCCTCCGGCGTCGCGTCGCGAACCGATGCGTCACCATCGGCACACATCCTCCACCCCTCATAAAGATGGCAACAAGACAAGAACAAAAATACAACAAGGCATGAGGAGCGCCTTTCCCGAATTTGAAATCGATGACGCCAGTCTGCCGATGGGGGAAACAAAGGGGAAGAAGAAAAAAAAAGCAAGTAAAAATGGAGGAGAGGAGAACCTCCCCTCTTAACTCCTGGCGCACGCTAGCTGGGGATCGTCCCTCCCTACTCCCTAAGGAGAGCGTAACCCGATTGAGGATAGCTGAGACGACGCCGCCATGGTCTTGTGCCCGCCTGCCGCATACGCCGTTCCCATGGAAAGCGTTGGACTAATCGCGTTACAAACGACTTAAACCGCTCTGTTCTCTCGTCCACTTTGTTCCCCACCCACCCCGCAACTTGAATGTTTAGCTCGCGTGCGTGGTGGGGAAAGAGTCCCTTGAGAAAACCCGGGAGCATCGCACCCGGAGGGTTCGCCGCGGAGGACTGCGTTTTTCGTTGAGTGAAGTCAACTGCTCCGTCCCTACTTCTCTCTTGCCCCCTTCCTCAAACACCAATATAGAGCGTTGCCCGTCAGACAAGCCAATCTGCTGCAGAGAGGGAGTCACGTGGCCTCGAAACCGACTATGACATGGGGAAGGTTTCAAGTCACGTGGGAAGCTTCACGGCTTTGTGACTGGCCCAGACGGTTCATGGCGTTCGCCGCGATTCCCTTTTGAGGAGTGACGGAGTGTTAGGATGGCAGTTGGGGACTTCCGTTATCTCCTTCAGGAAACGAGCTTGAGCGGGGGGCTGTGTTGCACGTGATGTTTTCGCTTGGCGAGTCGCTACAAATTAGATTGCGAAACCTCGCAACAAATAGGTTGTCGCTTCTCGGACGGGGGCCATCTCGTTTTCTTATCGTGTTTATTTTTAAAACAAACTTCAAATAGAACACCCGCGTGGGCTTATAAAGTGGGGCTTGACGACACTGTACGGGTGTTTGGATCTTAACGAAACGAGTTTGAGTTCTTAATGTGATTTGTGTTTATAGCGAGTTATATCTTGTGATAGCCGTGAAAAACGCTCGTTTTGAATAAAAAAGATACGATATCTAAAAAAGTCGTATTTTTCGCACATAATGTGCGAGGAAAATAAAGCGATAGCTGTAGAACGGTCGCGGAAGGCGGATGGAATGGTGCTGTCACGTACCTGAGGACGGAGGTGCGTCGTGGTTAATCCTCATCGTCGTCGTCGTTGGCGTCGTGAATGCCACTGACGACCGCCACTAGTGATCGGTGATGCGTGAAGTAAGTGGGTCAGCGTGATGGAAGTTTTTAAAACCATCCAACATTACGCGTAGGAACTGAATATGTGCCAAAGCGGGATTTGCATAACAAGAACACTGTTTGGAAACAATTGTTTGAAGCAGACGACACGAAGATTCACCCTTCGTCGCGCCGTTCTTGGCGGAATGGCAGGGTTGGGCCCTCTCCGCTCCCTTCGCGCGGCACGGCCGACAGGATGTCCCGACTTTCCTCTCCTCGCGCCAAGAGGGGAAAGAAGAAAAGTTATTCCTTTCTTCGCACGCGCGGCGACGACAGCTCACGAGATCGAAATCTCTGCAAAGCGTCGCCCCTAAAAAGTTATTGCTTCAAACCATCAAACCTTCGTAACATAAAAAGAACCTGAAACCGGTATCGTGTCGCGTTTGAGAGGCGACGTTCCTATTTTAATGCGAAAGCGTTAACTGTCCCACGGAGCGAGCCGACGTCATCAGCTTTGAAGCCGCGGTGAACGGCACCTAAACTCCATTCTCCAAGTGAGGCCGCAATCTGATGGCTCCCAGCTTTGAAACCACGCGAAATGCCTACTCAAACAGCCTTTAGTTCGCCCGCTCCCAATGGAGCGCAGTGAAGCGGAAATCTGATGGATTTCGGCTTTAGCCCGTTTGCTGGCGCGCGCTCAGAACGAGGTTCCCATTGGCCGCTACGCGTCAGTTTCAACGACCGCCACCCCATAACGCTTCGTGTCAGGGCCGCCAGCGCGCCGGTAAAATGAAGCGTCTGGCCGCCAAGCGGGGCAGCGGCTCCACCGCCGAGGTCAGCGCGGCGAAGAGAGCGCGCGCTCGGCCGCCCACGCCAGTACTCCAAAGACAAAATAAGGAAGCCGAAGGAGCACATGCATGCGTTCGCATTCAAAACTCATAAGAAGTTCTAAGGTGTACCTCGAGCCTTTTTGTTAGACTGCTAAGCACTTTCATGGCACACTCGAAAAAGTTAAGCTCAGCGTGACCTCCGTATTTTGTTCGTGTGACCCGTGGTTGGAGACAATGAAGTTTTTTTTTTCCTTGGGAAATATCTGTGTTAAGAATTGTGAACTTTTTTTTATGTGCGCTGTTAGAGGAGCTTCGGTTTACAGGAAGTTACATTCAACGATTTGTTTTGTGAGCCTAATGCCTGCTGAGCCAACTGCAAAGTATGATCAAATAGGTTTTACACTCATGTGATCCGAGTGCTACTGCAACGGGCACCATTAGGATTCGCTGTAATGAGACTCGTTTTCACATTAAGGCCTACAACAGTCGACGTTGCGAACCAATGGAGTTAACCAAGCGGCACCGGAAGTATATCGTGGAGGCGATCTTTTGTGTTTGCGCATTTTCTATCACCGGCCAAACCAATCACTCCGAGAAAAAAAACGCAAGTTTACACCACATTCATTGTACGTGATTGGTTTAGCCGAAGATACATGCCAAACGCACAAGGGCGACGAGCGACGTGACTATGCACTTTTGCCGCTGCCCGATTGACTACGTAGGATCGTAGCCTCGGCTGCGATCTGACTTAATGTGATATGGGGAGTATACATTTCCATCGCTTATCAAACGGGGCGAAAAAGGCTGAGTCACGAAGTCGTGGACGCATGCGCAGCGTCCGAAATGCCATACAGCAGAGCAACAGCGCATGCTCATAAGGCGTTCCACTGCCCCACGGACGAAAAATTCGGCAGAAACACTCAAGACTGTTTCCGTTTGGGAATGCGAAAGGCATTTGGCGTGTAATCTTCGAGTCGTAACGGTTGCGGTGACGTCGGCGATGGTGGGATGGGGTCGACTGAGAGGACCATTGGCTCGTGGTCGGTGACACACGCACTAGACACACCTTTAGTCAGCAAGAACCGCGGAGCCGCCGTGGCGTCGGGGAAGTTTGGTCGTCTCGCACCCCCGGAGGCCCGGGTTTGATTCTCGCCGAAACAGAAGTGTACCACATTTTCTTTTCAAAGCAATAAATTTACTTTGGTTACAGTAACTTTCCTAAAAAATTTGACTTCAATGCGAGCATTTTTTTTGTGTGTTTATGTACTCTTTGCGCCGTCGAAAATTTTGGGTACCATCGCTCAGTCACGCCGCCGACGGCGCCGGATTTTCGCGTAATAGGGCATATACACACACCCCAAAGGGATACAATGCATTCGCATTAAAATGTCAGCGTGTAGAAACTGATTTTTGCAAAGGACTAAAGGTAAGGTCTGCATTTCGGCAGCGGCAGTGGTGACAAACGAACCGACGCCTAAGCAACACTTTTTGATACCGCAGGTTCCCGTTGCAAGCCATCTACATTCGGCTGTTTGCGTGTGAACATCAGTACTCGGCTCGGCTGAAGTTGCGAAGCTCTGCAGCGTCATCGCCAGCAGCAAGCAGACGTGCAAGAAACACGCAAGTCAGGGACCTGCGCGTGACTGTCATCGAAAGCACCGTCATCCCACCACCGCCCTCAAGATCATCACGTGGCCACTACAGCCACTGCCTATATAACACGGGATTTTCACCGAGGTCTCTGCATTGCGGTAGCGGCAGTGGTGACCAACAAACCGACGCCTAAGCAACACTTTTTGATACCGCAGGTTGTGTTATTTCTATTGGAATTTCATTTTTTCTTGACTGCTGCTGCCACTGTAGTGCTGCTGTTTGTGTCTTTGTTTTCTGCTTTTGAGCAGTTTTAGTTTTATCCATTTTTGAACATGGTACTGAACAAAGAATTGTTGGCTGCATTTGAGGATATAAAAAATGAGTTCAAAGCAGAGCTCAAGGTTTTTGGAGAAAATTTTGATAGAGAAATTCTAAAGGATCCGCGGGACGTTAAGGCGAGCTTAAAGTTTATAAATCAGATGTATGAGGAAATGAAAACCCAGGTCAAGGTCGTACAGGATGAGAACAGGGAACTGAAAAAGGACAATGCCTGGCTCCAGACGACGTGTGACGAACTTGCAGTCCGTATGAAGGATAGCGAGACGCGTATACTGAGTTCAGAGCAGTGTTTTCGAAATGCAAACATTGAAATAAAAGGGGTACCCACAGCGCAAAATGAGAATCTGTCCATGCTACTGGAACAAATAGGTGGCCAAATTGGCATACCAATTACAAAAGAAGACATCGAGATATGCCATCGAGTACCCATCGCACACAGCACTACCGACAAAAACATCGTCGTGCAGTTCGTTCATAGAGCCAAACGAAACAATGTACTAGAGGAAGCAAGACGCCACAGGTTTACTGGAACAAAAATCGGATTAACGTCAAACGAGCCCATTTACATCAATGATAACCTCTGCTCTCAGCTGAAGAGGCTCCTTGGTCAAACTACCAGCAAAAAAAGGGAGGCGAATCGGAAGTTTGTCTGGGTTAGAAACGGCCAGATCTTTGCACTGAAGGCAGTTGGCACTCCGACTTTAAAAATCATGACTTGTGACGGCCTCTCCAAAATCGTTTAAATTTTTATAAAGAAAAAAAAAATTAGCATTGAAAGATGGGAGTCGCAAATTTTTTAGATCTCGCGGACCTTGGAAAGTTACTAGACGCAAACGATTTAACATTTTTTCACTTAAACGTCCGTTCAATGAGTAATAAAACAAATGACGTCGACATGTTGCTAGATAGTACAGGTATCAAATTTGATGTAATAATGTTTATTGAAACTTGGTATAACGATAACTCGAGTCACTTTCTTATTCCAAATTATAACAACTTTGTGCTAAATCGATTGCACAGAAGGGTGGAGTAGCCATACAAACAGTATCATCTCTAAAAACCGAACTTTTAACTGAATTTACTACGTCAACCGAGGACTACGAAGTATTAACCTTATGTAATGATTGTAATATATTGTGTGTTGTACATCGGCGTCCAGATGGAAATTTCGCCAATTTTTGTGTGTTTCTGGAGCGATTTCTTGATTTTGTATGTTGCAACAAATATACTTTGTTTATGAGTATAGATGTATCCACTGTATCTGCCTCACAAACTGAATTTATTTTTATTCTTGAATCAAATGGTTGTAACAATTTAATTGAATGTCCAACACGTGTCACAAGTAACTCGTCTACTCTCATTGACCTCTTCATAACAAATAGTGATAATGAACATGGGTACTTTGGCGTAATACTAAGTGATGTCAGCGACCATTTCCCCATTTTTTCGTTCATTAGAAAAGCTCGTAATAAGACATCAATATCATTACAGGAACCAATATTTGCTCAACAAATGAATGCCCAAAGATTACAAATGTTTCGTAATGCCATAGGTAATACAGACTGGAGCTTAGTATATATGGAAGAAACAGCAGATAAGGCTTATAACATTTTCTTGTCTTCGTTAACTAGGATCTATGAAAATTGTTTTCCGTATAAAAAAATAAGGAAAAGCAAAAAGTCTAAAAAGCCATGGGTCACACCTGAACTAGTTCGTAAAATAAACATAAAAAGTAAGCTTTTTAAAAAAATTATTAAAAACGGATCCAAGTCAACTATGTGCTTATAAAGCTTTCCGTAACAAACTAAATGCTGAATTGAAGCATGCTAAATCGAATTACTATAACAATCTGTTCAATGACGCCAAAAGACAAAAAGGAGATATTTTATGGAAACGCATAAATTCTTTTTTTAAAACCAACTGAAGAACGTTCTCGTTTAGATGTTGGACTTGTTGGAAGCAAGTTGTCTGACTTACAGCTTGCTAACACTTTTAATAATTACTTCGTAAATTTGGTACAACCAGCAAATTATACCATAGAGAGGGCACGGTAGAACGGCCACGATGAACCACGCTTACCCGTTCCTTCTTCTCGTACAGTGTCTGTGGCTGAAATGCGGGAACCCATGCCAGCCAGCTGCCGGTGACCAAGCGCACGGAAACCCCTACTCGCTCCACGTTAGCAGCAACACGACACGCGCCAGCAGCGATGACTACGCGACTTTTGTGGAAAAACACTTTGTGATCGACACCCCTGTCGGCCACCACGTGCAAGGAACCGTGACGTCACCACAGGAGTCTACAAAAGGCGCCGAGTGGCAGCAGTTTGTCAGAGGGCACGGCAGAACGGCCACGATGAACCACGCTTACCCGTTCCCGTTCCTTCTTCTCGTACAGTGTCTGTGGCTGAAATGCGGGAACCCATGCCAGCCAGCTGCCGGTGACCAAGCGCACGGAAACCCCTACTCGCTCCACGTTAGCAGCAACACGACACGCGCCAGCAGCGATGACTACGCGACTTTTGTGGAAAAACACTTTGTGATCGACACCCCTGTCGGCCACCACGTGCAAGGAACCGTGACGTCACCACAGGAGTCTACAAAAGGCGCCGAGTGGCAGCAGTTTGTCAGAGGGCACGGCAGAACGGCCACGATGAACCACGCTTACCCGTTCCTTCTTCTCGTACAGTGTCTGTGGCTGAAATGCGGGAACCCATGCCAGCCAGCTGCCGGTGACCAAGCGCACGGAAACCCCTACTCGCTCCACGTTAGCAGCAACACGACACGCGCCAGCAGCGATGACTACGCGACTTTTGTGGAAAAACACTTTGTGATCGACACCCCTGTCGGCCACCACGTGCAAGGAACCGTGACGTCACCACAGGAGTCTACAAAAGGCGCCGAGTGGCAGCAGTTTGTCAGAGGGCACGGCAGAACGGCCACGATGAACCACGCTTACCCGTTCCCGTTCCTTCTTCTCGTACAGTGTCTGTGGCTGAAATGCGGGAACCCATGCCAGCCAGCTGCCGGTGACCAAGCGCACGGAAACCCCTACTCGCTCCACGTTAGCAGCAACACGACACGCGCCAGCAGCGATGACTACGCGACTTTTGTGGAAAAACACTTTGTGATCGACACCCCTGTCGGCCACCACGTGCAAGGAACCGTGACGTCACCACAGGAGTCTACAAAAGGCGCCGAGTGGCAGCAGTTTGTCAGAGGGCACGGCAGAACGGCCACGATGAACCACGCTTACCCGTTCCCGTTCCTTCTTCTCGTACAGTGTCTGTGGCTGAAATGCGGGAACCCATGCCAGCCAGCTGCCGGTGACCAAGCGCACGGAAACCCCTACTCGCTCCACGTTAGCAGCAACACGACACGCGCCAGCAGCGATGACTACGCGACTTTTGTGGAAAAACACTTTGTGATCGACACCCCTGTCGGCCACCACGTGCAAGGAACCGTGACGTCACCACAGGAGTCTACAAAAGGCGCCGAGTGGCAGCAGTTTGTCAGAGGGCACGGCAGAACGGCCACGATGAACCACGCTTACCCGTTCCTTCTTCTCGTACAGGTTAGTAAGCGAACGTGTTACTCTGTTCAGAGTAACGATGTGTGTTTGGTTGTTCTGCCGTGCCCCAGTGTTTGCGCGAAAACATTTCGCCGTTTGCTGATCTTGTTGGGCGGGGATATAGAGACCAACCCAGGTCCCATGACAGCAAAACAAGAAGAGATGTTAATGAGTGTGCATGCAATGGTTCAGAATCTGTCTACTGGCATGAAAAAACTTGAGGCAGGCCAGGCAAAAGTACTAGGCGATATCAAAGACTTAAAGAAAAAACAACAAGAAATTGACTCGTCTATCTTGTCTCTGAAGCAACGCGTCCATGGCCTAGAACAGAAATCAGAAATCAGTGACGCGACCGGATCACCTCAAGTTATGGGGCAGTTGTCGGAGGTGAATGCAGAACTATATGCGCTGAAACATCGGTGCGCTGACTCGGAAACACGATCACGCAGGTGTAATCTCCTGTTCTTCGGCATTAAAGATAAGGATAAAGAGACCTGGACGGAATCCGAGCAGCATATTATCAAACTCTGCGCTGATTTGCTTGATATAAGTATTGAGCCAACTGAAATTGAACGAGCACATCGCCTGGGTCGTTTTAAACAGAAAAAAAAACCGTCCTGTCATTGTCAAATTTTCTTCTTTTAAGAAAAAGGAAACCATTATGTCGTCCGCCCATAAACTGAAAGGCTCTGAATTTGCTGTAAGTGAAGACTTCGCACCAGAAATTCGGCTTGCTCGTAGAAAGCTGTTAGATTTTGGTAGATCTCAAGAGGGTCCTTTTAAACTACGATACGATAAGTTGTGCATTGGTGAACGTACATTCGTGTATGATCAAGCCTCGCAAGAAGTAAAACAAAAAAGCTGAGACCAAGTAGGCTCTTCTGCTGCGAGTACTACAGAATGAAATCAGGTGTCTTCACCAGCAGCTGCAAAAACAAAAAAACATGAAAAGCCAATCCGAATGTTGGTTGTAAACTGCCGTAGTGTCAAAAATAAACTCTCCGAATTATGTGGTCTCATTGAAGCGACAGATCCCTCAATCGTTGTGGGAACTGAATCATGGCTTGATGATAGTGTTAAAGATTGTGAAATATTTCCTCAGGGATATGCAGTATATCGTCATGACCGTAATAGTCACGGCGGAGGGGTGTTCTTATTGATTGCTGACGAATTGCACAGCACTCACTTTGAAATTCAGGACAGCTGTGTTGAGTCTGTTTGGTCTCGTATATGTGTAAAAGGGACAACAATCTTAATCGGTGCTTTTTATAGACCCCCCAAATCAGGTCATGAGACATTAACCATGTTACAAGAAATTATTAATAATATGCCAAATGAGTGTGTAATTTTAGGTGGTGATTTTAATCTTCCAGAAATAGTAATGGACAATGGAAACATTAGAGTGCCAAATACGATCTTATATAAAGAATTCGAATGCCTTGTGAATACTTTTGGTTTTAAACAATATGTCACCCAGCCTACAAGGAAAGACAACACTCTTGACCTGGTAATGTGCAACTTCCCGGAATATATTGAAAACACAACAGTCATTCCTGGAATAAGTGATCATGATGCAGTTACAGCTGAACTATCCCTTACAAGGCCTCCAAGTCCGAAACATAATAAAAGAAAAGTTTATTTATATAACAAGGGTAATTATACTGCACTTCCACAGGACCTGCAGTCTTTTTCAGTTGTTTTCAATCACAGGGCAATCCTCACAGACATTGAAACATCATGGAACATGTTCAGGGAGAAACTGCACTCTCTTATGAACAAACACATACCCACGAGAAACATTAAAGAGGGAAAAGCTGTCAACAAAGCATGGGCTACTCCAGAACTTTTAAAACTAATAAAACGCCGAAACAGAGCGTTCGGTAAATACTGTAAAAATAAGTCAGAACTAAACAGAAATCGGTTAAAGAGCTTGTCAGCCCAGTACAAGTTACTTGCAGAAAAAAGTAAAATTACATATTTTCAGAGGCTAAATAACAACTTTGCCAACAACAAAAAAGAGTTTTGGAGGTTCGTGAAGAGTAACAAGAAAACGGACACTACTATACCGGCACTCCTTTTCGAGGGAACTGATGTCACTGATGATACAGCAAAGGCGAACTGTTTAAATGAGTATTTCAAATCTGTGTTTAACGCCAAGATACCACCTGGGGAC